GGGAATAATTCATATGACACTCTGCAAGTTGCGATACGATATTCATTTACATATTCTGCAAATAAAAATTAGACGAATGGCTAAATCTGCGACATCAAGCGAATTTGATTCATCATTCCGTCTTACAATTTTGTTTTCGCCATTTTACGGCTGACTCCCATCTAAATGATCCGGAACTGATCAAGTTTATTGTAGTTCTATTACAGAGGGTAGGAGAAGTTAGGCTGTTCAAGAAAATCTAACATAACAATGAAGTTATAACTGAATGAAGTTATCATGTGATTTTCTTGCAATGCAAAGAATTATTTTAAAAATTGTCATAGCTAGAAGAAGTATGATTTGCTATGAGCTCCATTAAAAGCATTGAAAGAATAAGAAAGTTGAAAATAATTAAGAATTCAAAAAATTTAGCAGTTTTTTTTAAAGTGTTAAAATGATGAATATTCTTTATAAGAGTTCTGCCAAAAAAATATTAACAGTGCGAATTTACCGCATTTAAGAATCTCGAATTAAATCGCAAAAAAAATCGAATTAATAAATGTAAAGACAAATTACCGGAATTTAAAGTCGAAATTCGTGTACATTTTTTACTCAGTTACTGTTATCTTTACAAAAATAACTCTTTCATACTGATATAATGAAATTAGATTTACATATCGGATAAATAACTCTGAATCTAAAGAAATTAAAAATTAAGTTATGAAATTTGGTATACAGATCTGGTCTGTATTTGATAGCTTAATTTGACTTATCATAGAAAAATCAAAAATGAAATTCACAAGAGCCTTGTTTTTTTGCATGAAAATTTGTAATAAAAGAAATTATCGCTTAATTTAATAAATAGTTCCATTCAAAGCAATCAATAATTTAAACTTCGAAAAACATTTCAATCTCACGATCGAAGACATTCAGGGAAAGTGTGCTTGTTTCCGATGGTTTGACAGCCATATATTTTCTTATCATTTCATCAATACCATCTTCGTTACACTTTTCCTCATGACATGCGCAAATCCGCCAATGATTATTTGGCATTGCACTTGCGAGACACATTTCGAACTATAAAATAAATTAGTGATCTGATTTTGATAGTAAATGTATCACATAATAATTATATGCTTATTTTCAATCAATATTTAGAAATGAATCTTTCAAAATGATACTTTTCATTTACCTCACAGTATTCCGTGATTTTTTCATCACTGAATTGTCCCAAAAAGGGTAAACGATCAATTGGATGGACTTGAATGCCGGAATGTTCAAGTATGAACGATTGAAAATCATTTTGACAACCACCTACTTCAACAATGAACTTTCCTAACTGATCTGGAAATATACATCTGATGATGTACTGTTCTGGAATAGATTTATTCAAGTTTATAAATGTTGAGTTAATTGATTGCAAGTTAATTCGAATTCCCTTTTCATTAATTCAGCTGATATTATTTAACAGTTTGATTCAATCTCTGTTAATTTGATCTGATTCTTAGCTTCACATAAAAAATGTCTCTCTTATCTCTTCATTTAATATAATTCGGAAATAAACCGAAATACCTATAGTAATAGCTGAAAAACAACAACGGTTGTTGATTGTGCATTCATTATAATCCCGTTTTTTTATGGTTCCGTTCACATTTAGATAAACTAAACAAGCATTTGTATCGTCTATCGGCATCGAAAATGGATTTCGCAGTGACCAAAATTGTATTTCAGCCAATGTTAGCACTGAATTTAAAATACTGTTTCAATTTTTAAATTTACGATTGATTAGAAATAGTAAAAATAATGTTCAAAAAAGAAGTAAATGCTATAATTCTGTATTATTTCAGTGAATGCAAACTTCAAATGACAGTAATATCATAATATTGGTTGGTGAAATATGCAAATAATTGAAGAAAAGAAAGGAATCGGCGAACATTGATCGACAGCAATAATTTATTTTCTTTTCATTTTAATTTTATAAAAATTCAAACCTATAATTGTCGCACACTTCATTATACACAATCCACAGGTCTTTCCAAATTTTAGGCTTTTGATTAGAATTTTCAAAACTTTCCTGCAATTTGAGTTTCATCTCATATGGTGACTTAAAAAACGAAGTAATAAAATAGGTTAGACTTAAAATGAAATAGACCAGTAAATATGCTTCAAATATACTTAACAAATTGGTTTGTAAGTAATGATTAGATTTAGTGATTAATAAAGTATCGAACATATTGTGAAGTTTATTTAGCAAATACCATCTGCAACACTTTCTCAGAAAAGTGGTTCAAAGAATTAGTTGAAAATCAAATGAAGGTGAAATATGCATCAAAAAATGAAAAAAAAAAAGAAACGAGCTGAGAATTTTTTGTTTTAATCATGTTGAGCTGACTTTAACAAGCAATAAAACAAAAATCTTTATAACTCATAGTTAGAATTAGAATTTTAAGAAGGCAATTTTTTTTAACCTTTTTAAATCACTGATTTTGATAATTTAAATACAAAAATATTTAAAGATGATTGGAACGATTTCGAAAAGAAGTTTGAGTGGATGCAACTCTTTGAAAATGTAAGGAATGAGTGCAATAATTTTGATCGAAGCAAGAAAATGGAAAGACGATTTGAGGTCATCCAGGGGTCATGATGATTTACCCTACTCCCTGTCGATGTGTAATATAGTGCATAATTAACTTATCTTACTTACGAATTGACTAGCGAAATGAAATTAAAATCTCACATTAATATAATATCTTCCAGTTTATTTCATTTCGTTTTCGAATTCATACATCATTTCATTAGCTCATCGCACTTCTTTTTCCTGTAGTTTTTTTTACGTATTTTAAATATTTGAACAATTCATTTCCGGTATTATTTCATTTATAAATATATTTGATCATTAGATCTTACGGATATTAGAATTCAACTAAATGGCAATAGGAGAATTGTTAAAATGAATCTCTCAGATATTTTTCTAAAGATTAATCATTGAGTCCTCACAATCCGATAATCTTTTTCTCTTCCAAATATTATGAGGTAATTAATTACAGATTAAATTTATATAATTAACTCATTAACTTTCTATTAGTAGAATAAATAACCCAATAGGTTTGCATGAATACGTAATAATTGTGATGACAGTGCTAAATGATAAGTCACAAATATCATTTATTTAAAGCATTCTCATTGTAATATAAATATTCAATTTTAAGTTCTCCAAAAATTAAAAGTGAAATTTTTAAAAATAAAAATTTACACACAGCAATATCATTGTTCCTCTTTTTTATCCATTTAACAAAATTTGCACAGTTTGTTCTACAAGATTTACAAAATCAGGTGGTCTTTTGACAAGCCCTTTCTGAACTCGTTCCTGATAATCACGGATAGTATCATCAATACCATTCATGTTACAGTTATGCTCCCTACAAGCACATAATCGTGCAGTATCACGACTTGTCGAACGCTCAATACACGATCCCTCCTAAAATATTGCATTGTATTGAACTGGAAGATTTAATCATTCATAAATTTAAAATTTCAGAGTCTTTTTTTCGGTTTGTTTCGATGAATAGAAAGAATAGAACTCACTTCACATATATAACTGATTGTAATTGGTAGCATATTTCCAAGAATGGGATGAGTTCCAACTATGAAACGATACTCATCTTCACAACCACCGGATTCCACTGTTTCTCCGGTTTGCTTATCTGGAAAAATTTAGCCCTTTAAAGCAAAAACCAGAATATTTTGAAACAGCAATTTTTTTTAGATTAATTTCATTCTTAAATGTTTCTATATTGTTATTTTTCCCTTTATTAGTATTAACTTTATTTTCTTAAAATGTTTTTATATATTAATTTTATTCTTAAATATAGGTTTTAATTATAACTATAACTTTATTGATGTTCCTAATTAAAAAAAAAATTAACTGACCGATGAATTCAGCACTGTAACAACAAGTATTACCAAACATACAATCATCCATAACACTTTTTGTTGTTTTGCCATTTTTTTTTCGATATGTAAAACACGCTAATGACGTGCTAACAAACGGTTTCGGAATATCCACGGCGATTTTAAGGTGCAATAAACAAACAAGCCAAAAAACTAAAATTGCTCATTTTAATTACAAATATTTATCCTCATATTTGTCTAATAAATGAATATTTGTTCCACGTGAATGAATCATCTCAATGTTGACATGATATCAATAACTATAACTTGTCAGTAATGAATGATATTTTTCTTCTAAAAAATTAGTTTCAACATAAAAATAAATTGCAAAATTAATGCAGAAATATAAGAAACTTACCAATAGTTCGAGTAAATCTTGCCATTGTCAATCAGTTCATTAGCCATGAATGTAAATGAATTATCATGATGATTGGATTTTGCTTACTTTGATCTGTTTGTATTTTTTTTTTTTTTGGGATAACAATGATCTAATATTATCAGAATATTTCTTGCAAAATATTTATTTTATCTAAGAAACAAGAATAGCGATATCAAAACATGTTCGCAGACCTGGTTACCTTAGTTTCAAAATTAGTAATTACAGATCCTATTACGGTTAATTATCATTGTATAAAGCAAGAATTATTTCTTGTCGCATCAATTCCGAAATTGAACTTCAAGACAATTTATTATTAACTTAACTGAATACTGTTAGAAATCAAACAAATAAATTCATCTCTAAAATTTTGGTTAAAACTTGCTAAAAATATCATATGATTGGAAAAAATTTTTCAATATTCCGTACTTTGTTTGGTCTTAAAAATTTTGCAATTTTCCACTGCTATTCTACACGCTCGTTTACAGAAATCTTGCTAATGTTATATGTAACAAATTTTAATGAGAATAATAATTATATTATTGATCAAAATTTAAAGCTGTCAATAAAGCAATAAAGTTTAAAATAGTATAGCAGAATGATTATATAACTGGATAGTTATCTTATCACATCACAAAATTATAAGTTATATCCAATATTAGAATATTGCAAATTGAAATTGCATGTATTTAAAGTTATGAAAAAAGATGAAACAAAAACTGTTTTGAAAGCTATAAAAATCTATGAAAAATAGGATCTGATCAGAAATATGGGCTTATCTTTCC